CAAAGAATTACATTGCAAATGCCATTCCCTCCATATGATGTTATTCAGTCTAATTTTCTCCTTCAGTCGAAATTTAATTCCTTTGAAATTTTTCCATTTCGGTGATGAGAAGGTACCACTGAAAATCAAAAAAGAATTTAAAGTTTAGTGAAACATCAATAAAATATTTTTTAAACCAATTATTCATTAAACAAATGACACTGATTATATGATAATTTAATGAACAAAAAGTGGGACAATTAGATGTTGTTGAAAATGTTTATTTCTTTAATGTTAATATCATATACATTAAGATTCTTAATGTATATGATATTAGGCTTACTAGGTTTTCAGTTAAAAAAAATTAAGTGCATTTCTTCTGGAATTTGGTATTCCCTACAAAGAATAAAGATATAAAATAAAGATAGCCTATCAATGCTAAAATGCCTTAAAACTGTAGCAGAAGAATTTAATAAATGAACAAATAAGTTATTCTATTTTCTATATCAAAATTAAAAAACGTTCAATAAACAACAATTTAATTTTCCATACTTAATCAGTTTCCATGTTAGTTAATTTTTGTAATTTTTAATTATTTTTTTAAATTTTTGTATCTCAGCAATAATATAAAAAACTCAAAACAAAAAAAATATTAACCTAGCTAGTTTCTCATAAATGGACATGCATTTGAATAATTTTGAGAGTGAAGAATCAATAGCAGATGCCACTTTGCTGCTGTTTTCGTTGCTAACTGCTTCTACTCTCTCCTGCCCTCCATCTCCTCCTTGACAATGACCAAGCAGCAATTCTTCTGGCTCTTTGTACTGTTCCGTCGCTAACTCGTCGTGGACGTGACTAACCATAAAATGACCGCTGTGAATCGTCTTCTCGTAGGCTTCAGTATCTCCCAATGTATCCGAAACGACGGCCAGTTGGATCGATCCTGGTTCGGAAGTCTCATAGACGTCCTCGGTGTCACTGTGGGCCATCTGAAGCAGATGATCGAATTGTTTCATGATGGCATCGAGCGAAACCCACCTCGTCAATCTCACGAACACTAAATTATTTTATTAACGTAATGATCCAACTTAATATTCTCCGCTAAAATCGATCGCGTTTTGTTTTTTTTAATAAAGTTGACTTCTGTAGCATCCATGTTTTCATGAACGTTTTATCCCGGGTTCATCTAATTGGCGCATTCAGGCTTAAACAGTTGGCTATTTTTAAACACACTGTGATTCATTTTTCATTAATCACCGAGCTATACTAATACTAATATCAATAAAAGATGAAGTAAAATACCTTGGAATGTTTAGACATTTATACAAAATAATGATAGTATAATAACAATAACATACAACTTAATGAAATTTGTACCGCAATTTCACACTCGAAAGAGTAATGCGTTCAATTTTGGGAGTTTTTTCTTTATCAGACTTTAAAAAAGATCTGGTTTACTAAAAACACATGAACCTTAAGCCTTTTTAACAATTAAACATACTTTGATGTCAGTGAGCTGGCACTTGGAGCTAGAAAAGTTTAAAAATGTACTATTATTGTTTTACAAATACTGAAGGACAGAGAATGTTAACTGGTTGTTTTTTACAACCAATTTTCATTAATTCTGAACAACATAAAACTTTTTGATTTTACTTTTAATGATATAAAAATAACGAATAAAGTATTTTAGACTGGATATTTGTACTATTGAACCTCATACTTGTACTATAGTTTAACTCCTATGGTAACATTCCATTGCAAAAACTTTGATTTGTTAAATCCTTGGTTAAGTTGACAGATGACAAAAGCTTATCCAACTAGAATATATGATTCAAAATTGTCCAACGCAAAGAAGGCAAACAGCAACCGAATTTCCATAATAATCGAACTATGGTGTTTCTTCAGTTATACATAATAATGGCTTTACGATCAATTCAAGTTACTATATTTCTGAAACGGCGACATCAGGTTGTTTATATCTGAAAAGCTAAAAAGACGAACCGACTTTGAAGTTACGGGATTAAAGAATTACTATTTTTCCATATTTTCTGATTTTCGTGTACCAAAAAAAAACAAAGTTATTTTTTTCAATATATTCACATAATAAAAAAAAAAGAATAAATGGAATAAATTACATTTCAAAACTTTATGCAATACATACGTAATACACACGCATACGCACACACACACACACGCACACGCACACATACACACATACATACGCAAAAAAATATATATGCGAATGTGCGCAAGGATATTATGGACAAAGAAAAAACTTCAATAGTTAAGACACTGATGAATGAAATTGAAACCTACAATTTTTCAAACAAATCAATTTTTACGGCAAAAATTAAATAAAATATATACGTATGTTGTCAGTTTTGAGATTTAAAGTTAAATACGTCACATCACGTGTTACGAATATGTACAATGCATCTAAATTTTAATTCGAACTACGTATAAATACCAGTGTGTATTTATACGTATTCGTACGCGTGTATGTGTACGCATTTAAAAATATGCTATATATTTTATTATAGTAACATAATAAATAACAATAATAGAATAAAAAAAACCTAACAATATAGCATATTGGCTGTATTGTAAAAACACACATTGGTTTTTCATTGCCAAATTTCAACAAGGTGTAATAAAATAAAATTATTAAATAATTAATTAAAAAATGATAAACATAATTGAATTATTTAATTTATTAACAAACAAACGCTAGAAATTAATTTAATATATATTAGAATCAAAAAACTGACTGCACGGACCATGCACGAAATGAAAAAAAAATTAAATAGATAAATAAATAAAGACACACAGACAACTAAACAAACGCAACAAAAGTTCAAGAAAAAACTATTATCGTTATTACTATTATGTTATTATTGTTGTTATTGTTATTATTATTATTATTATTTGCTTATTTTTCAGTAGAGGTAGTAATGGCGAAGAAATGTTTAAATCAAATTTAATCACATATATGTATGTATATATAATGGAATATTTAATTTAAACTAATTTTATTTAAATTTATTTATCTAACCGATATTCATCGAGAAAAATCACTCTCATTATGTGAAATTATTATATTTAATATAATATAATTATTAAATTTAATGTTATGAGGTAGTATTATTTGCGCTATTTAAAAATTATTACTTTGTCTGGCGGATTAGATTATGAAGCAGATTATAAATACATAACCGAATGTCTTATTATAAAACATTAATTAGGCAAAATTTTCAAGGAATAAAATGTATTAAGATAAAATATACAACAAACATTCATATGTATGTAAAAGTTATGTTAACAATTTCTATTAAAATAACGCATCCACTAGTAGTTACAATTGTTCCAAATGAATATATACAGCGTGAAATCGAAATATGAAGTGAGCAGGGGAAAAAAACGAACAAAAAATGACTCAGTGGTGCAGGTAACTTATGAGCGGTCTGTAAAGTAACGAACAACCAGTAGTTTATTATTTCTAATTAAAAATCACCAATTTTTAGCAAAAAAATTTGCTGTAAATAATCTTTATATCAAATTTCAATGCTAATAAAATTCAAACAATTGACACTGAAGATATAGTTAATTTGAAATTTGTACGTTTCATACAAATTAAAAGTTTATGTCATCCTATCGGAGTGGTGTGCAATCTTGTGCCATACTTTTAGAGGCACGCCCCCCCTCACTTGCTTGTTTAAAAGATCGTTTTCGTCGTTGTTTCGCATGTCTTTATTGCTATTTTTTTGATTATCTGCACTCCTGTGGTTGCTGCTGTGATCGATATTGTTCGTGAGACAAGTGTTATTGCTGTTGCTTTTCATCTCATTATGTTTGTTGTTGAAATTAGATCTGTCGTTATTGTTTGTGGGAATGTTGTGTGGCTTCAAGAAGGAAACATGTTCAATGGATATAAGCTGCGGTATTGGGTCGATTGTCTTCACGTTCTTAACCCTTACAGCAGAGTTATCGGGGTCTTTATTTTTAGTTAGCTCTAAAAACTTTTCGTACGATAGACCAGTTGAATTCTTAGCGACATTTGGTAATGTCCTTGGAGCAAGACCATCGTTCATATTTACTTTGTTGTTTGATTCTTTTTTGCTTGAAAGATTCATTGGTTGTTGCTCTTTGGTGGTGCCTGATTTTGAAGAAGGTACTTCAGTTTCATCGTCAGATCCGTCCGAGAGATACGTTCTCGGATCGATCGGCTCTACAACATTTCTCGAAGGCAACTGGCCGAATGTTCTGGAAAACTTTTGAATGCTATCCAATGCTGATACGCTGCCAGTGTTGTTTTTAATCAGTGGTGGTTGCTGAAACACGTGCTGATGAAATTGTGGTATGCTGACTAAGGATGGAACTGTACCGCGAACGAACGGCTGACGAAGTTGCAGTTGTTGCTGTTGTTGTTGTTGCTGCTGCAAATGTTGTTGAATCTGTTGTTGGCGTAGCTGGTTTTGATGTTGCTGCTGTTGCTGTATTAACTGATGTTGTTGTTGTTGTTGAAATGAAAGTTGTTTTAAACGTTGGTGTTCCTGAGATTGCTGCTGCTGCTGCAATAACATCAGTTGCTGTTGATATTGATTGAAACGTTGAGAATCTTGGAACAACTTGATCTCCGCTTTTTCTTCCGTGTACTGAACTTTACAAAACGCGTTTTCAGGATCAATTTTGTCAGAACTCACAATTCTGCCGTTTACAAAACGACTTTTCTGAAAACCGCTTGTAGGCGACTCATCATCGGAGTCACTGACACCGATTTTACTTGAGGTCACCTTCCTCGCGTTGTCTCTACCCGGAGAATTGCACGGAGACAACTTGCTTCCTGGAATGTAGTTTGGGAGCATCTGATCGTGAATTTCTGTGATTGATGGCAGAGGCGAATTCGACCGATCGCTGACCGATTCGTTGCTGTAGTATTCCATCGACGACGATGAGACGATTTTGTCGGTCGAGTAGACGAGACTTTCGTCTTCATAATCGTTACGGCACTGGAGTTCGATGGAGTAAGGCGATGAAATGGAAAGGCCAAATCGTTGTTTGATGGCTTGCAATTCGACTTTGAGGCGCTTGTTCTCGTTTGTGAGTTGGACGATCTGATTTGTCAGTACCACGTCATTAAGGCGGCGTTTTTCGCGCGATTTTTTGGCGGCCGCATTATTCTTCTGGCGCTTCATCCAATATTCTTTATCCTTCTTATGATCTGGAATGAATTCTCTGTGTCGTCTCGTCACCGACTTCATCTCGGTCATCATCATTTTCACAAATTTACAATCAAACTAAATTTTTCTTAGTACTATAAATTCGTCTTTGATTTATTTAACAATTTTTATCTGACTTGTCGCTAAATTAATAAACAATATTTGCTTGTTTTTAATATAACTATTTTGAATTATTACGTTATTATTATATTACAACAAACCAGCCAGATATCAATAACTATTGTTATCATTATTATTATTATTATTATTATTATTATTATTATTATTACATTAAACAGTTTACATTTTCATAATTAATATTATAATAATAATTTGTTAGAAATTATTATTCGGTTGTTTATTCATCCGAGCGGTTGGTTCAACATTCCCAAACGTATGTTATTTAATATGTACTCCACTCAGCGGCAGATTAAATACACTCGATGCACGTAACGATATTTCACACTATTAAGTAAGTAGCTTATGTAACATAATGACGATGATGATGACGACGACGACGATGATGATGAAAATGATGTTTCTCTCACTAATGGTGATGAAAATGATAATGAAAATGATAGAATATGATACAGAAAATGCTGACGACGACGACGATGATGAAAGATGACGTCAACAATGACGTTGCTCCCACCGATAAGGATAAAGATGACGACGATGATTGCTGATAATGCACCTGATGACAGTGATGATGACGAAGACAACTATGACGATGGTTCGGCTTTTTTTGGTTTTTAATATTTTCACGGGACGACAGGCCTGTTATATAATTACGACTGCGGGTTAGAAGAAAATATTTAAATTATTATTAATTTATCATTATTATTTTATTATTATTATTTTATTATTATTATTATCTGTTATTAGTAATATAGTTATAATAGTAAAAATAACAATAAAATAATAACAATGATAATAAATTGTTATTACTAAAGATATTTTTGTCTTATTCATTTTCACCCATCCTTAACTTATTAACTCCATCTATGCGTCGTGCGTAAAATTAATAATAATACTAATAATTATTAATTCTATTATTATTATTATTATCAATATTAATTAGCCTAGTCAGTAATTATGATAATTAATTTTTTTTCAAGATGACTCAATTAATTATAGTCTGGTTCGCCAAGCACTCCTGGCAGACGCACATTCATCTGAATGGGTAATTTTGTTATTGTGACTTTTATTATAATGTTATATAAGAGCTTCGATGAGGAGTAAACACACATACACAAGCACCACACACAAACATATACACAGAGTAAACACACATACACCATACACAACACGCACATGCACACACACACACACACACACTACACACACACACACACTACACACACATGCACCTACATACACACACACACAAACCTATAAACCTACATATTAACAAACACATCAAATAAACATACACAGACATAAATACCTACATAAAACAAATTAAACGATATTAAAATGCACATGCAAACGCAATTATACCAAACACACTCACACAAACATATGATTACCGACAAAACTTACTAAAGATATAAACACATACACAAAAAGACAGACCCATCGATACATGCGAACACACAAGCCCAGACAATTTAGTTTCCATAATATTAACGGGAAATTCCACTTCTATTAATAGCTTGACTGCTTAACGAACGTGTCACGCAACGAACGACGTAAATCTACGGTTTAGAAATGTTTCATTCTGCTTTTATAATTCAACATTTCCGTTGCAAAAGATGGCGTAGCAGTCACTCAGACAGGTAGGAGGACAGCACAACGTACATAGAGGACTAAACAGAAGTACTAATAACGTTGACTGGAGAATGTTGTTTGTTATAACTATGCGTTGTATAATACCAAACCAAGCGAAACACGTCAAACTTCATATAGAAGTCTGATTCATCTGTTTGCTTCAATGATCTCTCTCTCTCTCTCTCTCTCTCTCTCTCTCTCTCTCTCTCTCTCGTCTTTATCTTCTTTCCATCTTTTTTGCTATCTCTCTCTGTCTCATCAACAGCATCTTCACCAACAACAACATCGCAATCATCTTATCACATCTTGTGTTCATGAAAGGCCTTGAAAATACAACACATACGCTTAGGCACACACGCATACGCATACGTACACTGCACTTATTTGAAGCTTACGCAATTTCAGGAATAAATGAACAAACCTACACAAACACACCTACACAAACACACATACACAAACACACATACAGACAAACAGACACACATACATACCTACACATATGTAGACACACATAGACATATATGTGCAGACATACACATATACAAACAAGTATAGTTATTTTAAAACATCTTTCAGCCAAACCAACATACGTATGTAGGTGAGGAATGTGTGTGAATTAAGAAAGTGCAAATAGTGATATGTGTGTATGTATGTTTGTAATGTACAATATATCTATGTATATAAGTATGTATGTTTGTAAATATGTATGTAGGTATGTATGAAGAAATGTATATATATATAAGTATGCATGCATGCATGCATGCATGTATGTATGTATCTATGTTAAAACCAAAACATGATGAATGACACTAAACAGTCAAACATTAAGTATGTATGTATGTATGTGTGTGTGTGTGTGTGTGTGTGTGTGTGTGTGTGTGTGTGTGTGTGTGTGTATGTATGTATGTATGTATGTATGTATGTATGTATGTATGTATGTATGTATGTATGTATGTATGTATGTATGTATGTATGCATGTATGTATGTATGTATGTATGTATGTATGCATGCATGCATGCATGCATGCATGTATGTATGTATGTATGTATGTATTATTATTATTATTATTATTATTATTATTATTATTATAAGAAAACTTGTATAACGACTTTTATAGAACTACCCAAAGTGACTTTTATAGAACTACCCAAAGTCGCTATCCAACATAACCAAAAAAAAAATTTTTGTCCATTTAAGTAATCAAACAAAAGCATAAATATTTCGAAAATAAACATAAGTATACATTGTAAAAAGAACTAAAACAAAACAGATAAATCCTTTAAATTCATATATAGATGCAAACATATACTCTCGACCATACCCAATCACTCAAAGTAATGTAACAACCATTAAGAACCAAACAGCAACCATTTTAAACCAAATCATAGATACATTCATCCACACTTTATCCACACCAATCACACACAATTACGCTAAGAAGATGCACGATAACATATAATTCAGAACAACTAACAGACAAATACCCAGCCACCAGCACAATAATTATAAATCGATTCAAATTATTAGAAACACACGAAACACACACATCTCATCACATCCAAAACACATTCAACGTAAGCACATCCCATCATAAAACACCCCCATACATTACGTACTCGACAACTCAATTATATATTTAAAAGGTAAATAAAAAAAACAGCATAAAACAAATGAATGTTCCGTTATCGATAAGCTACATTCATAAACAACAAAAGCAACTTACTATTCACAACTTCAATTAATCTTCAAAACAGGTGTGTTTTCAATTCTCTCCTAGACTGCAACAGTGACATCCCTGGTCGACGAATGATGCATGGAAGACTGTTCCATATTTTCGTACCACATACAGCAAAGTTACGAGACCCAATCTTCAATTTTGACACCCGATCTGTCAAGTAATTCTGATCGTTTGATCTCAAGACAAAATTCTGAGCAGTCATATCTTTGAGTGTAAACATCTCCGTCAGATATCGTGGTGCCAAACCATTTAAACACTTGAACATTAATAAGCAAATTTTAAAAACAATCCTCTTTTCAATTACCAACCAGTGCAAATCCTTAATCAATGGAGTCACGTGATCATACTTTCGTCCACCCATTACTACTTTAGCTGCTCTATTCTGTACAGATTGCAACAGTGCAATTTCATTCGCTGAAACACCATACAGTAGGCTGTTGCAGTAGTCCAAACGTGAGTGGACAAATGAATGAACTAATGCCATCAAAGCGGGCTTGCTGACGAATCTCTTAATGCGCTGCAACTGACGTAGAGGAAAACAACATGACTTTACGACACCCCGTATATGATCCCGCATGGTCAGATTAGCATCAAGTGTGAAGCCCAGAATTGTGGATGATCTTTCAAATTTAACAATGGCATCATCCATTTCTAATACATCTCGATGAATTTATGATGTTTGCTGCCATGTACCAATTGGCACTAACTTGGTTTTATCTTTGTTCAATTTTATTCCACTTTGTGACATCCAAATATTTACTGCAGCCAACGCATCTTTCAGTCCTTCAGCTAAATCATCAAACTTTTCAACAGGAGCACATGACACTAATTGAATATCATCTGCATACGCATAACACTCCATCTTATGATTCTCCATCATGTCAAACACATCAGCAGTATACAAGAAGAAGAGAAATGGCCCCAACACCGATCCCTGAGGGACGCCAGTTAACATTTTTTCTTCATCCGAATATTCATTACCAAATAATATCCGCTGTGATCTGTCATTTAAGTACGACTTGAAAAATCTTAGCACAGTGCCTGAAATTCCATAGCTTGCCGACATTCTTTGAACAAGTATATTGGGATCCACACAATCAAAGGCAGCACTCATATCAAGTAAAGCTAACAATGTCACTTGCTTTGAATCTGATGCCTGAAATAACGTTGACAACAGCTTTAATAGTGCCGTTTCCGTAGAGTGGAATCTTCTGTACCCAGACTGAAAGCACGGAAGATTATTTTCATCCAAGTATTGCAGAAGCTGTCTTGTAACCACCCTTTCAACAATCTTTGCTATAAACGACAAATTTGACACAGGACGAAAACTCTTCAACTCATTTGCATCGGACGATGGTTGCTTCAATAGCGGTGTAACAATTGCTTTTTTAAAAATCATTGGATAACTTCCAGTTTTCAAACACATATTGATCAAATCCGTCAAGTACGCAAAAACAGTTCAATGTGTTTTTTGAAAAGACTCGTCGGGATGGGATTTAGCATACATGTTGTCGTAGGGGCTTTCAAAATAAC